GCTCTCCCGCGTAGGCACTGAGGCCTCATTCCGGAAAGGCAGCCGGAGGAAGGACCTCGATGGATTCCTCTGCCCCGGAGGTGCAGTGATGGAAAGAGAAGCAAAACCCAGTCCGCATGCCTTGGAGCGTCTGCTGCCCCGCTCGTGTTTCTCCTCCGCCCCCCCCCAAAAAAAATGGCGGCTCGGGGCGTGGAGGAAGCATCGATCATTCGGCGCTCTGCCCACTTGGCGGGGCAGTAATTAAATTCGCAGAGAAAAGATGAAGGGGGCGGGGCTGACTTGGAGGAAGCTGGAGGGCAGGAAAATGGGCCGAGTCCTGCATCATTCACCGAGTAAGTGGTGTGGGTCCGCGCAGCGCTGCTTCCCTGGTGGCAAAGTCTCCATGCTCCGGGGAAAAGCGCGGGTGAGGATAGGTGACTTAGCCGCGGGCCGCGGCCTTCCGAGCTGCAAGCGCACATTTCGGAAGGGCGGTGACAAGTGGCAGCAGCGGAGACTGCTAGAGGACCCATTTTCAGTCTGCCTTTAACGATCCATTTAGTGGTTCATAAAACCAATTTAGCTGGTTTCTACTTGGAAAGGGTACAGGTGCGTGGGGGGATGGGGTTCTTTTCTGTGAAATAGAGTAAGGAGTATCAGGGACATATCCGAAAGTGGACTAAGTATTACTTCGTGAATTTTTTCCTTCTGTCAAATCCACTTGTCTTGTATCCTGGGTCACAGCTGTTACTGTGGCCAGTGGGGTTGAGAGGAGGACGCTTTGAAATCTAAAAGCACTGCTTGAAGAGACGTTTGCCCTACACTCTTAGATCGTCTCCCTGTGCTTATTAAGCACCCACCAGCCTCAACGTAAGACCTACAGAGCTGGCAGAAGTTCAGGACCTCCTACCGTGGGAAAGTATAGAGAACTACGAGAAGTGAACCTGGAGAACATTAAATATCTTTGAGGATCGACCTAAATACATAACGTGCTAAAGTGAGGTATTATCTATAAGCTCAGGCCATGCGAAAACGATTGGGGAAGTTGAGGCACAAACACAGAACGTAACACAAATTACTTCATACCAATATGTCAAAACCAGTGATAACAATATACTGGATATCAAATGCCAAAATCAGCGTTAATGCCACTGAAAATATTGTAATACTGGATTCCCCAGGAATGGAAAAATTCTTAAGTGAAGGTAATCAGTATGATCGTTTTAACTTTAAAAATATTCAACAGGGTAGTTTAAATACTCCAAGTAGGTGAATCAGGATTATCTTTTCAAGGCAAAAATTCCTTCTAGAAGGAATATTGTTCACATGGTGATAAGTTGGACTCTTCCACAGGGAAAAGGAAATTACCTTCTCTAAAGTCTAAAAGGCAAATTGTTAACTTTTTGGACTAGGAAAACCTTTATCCATTCAAATAGTGTCCAAGAGATAGAGGATATAGTTTCCATGTGAATTTCCTTAGATCCACCTGCAACTTTTTCTAGAGTCTGTACCCTTAAAATGCCCTTGCCAAATTCTAAATGTCAGCTACACTATTTGACCAGCATTATTATTATTATTATTTTTTTTTTTTGGTGGTAGGGTTGAAATAATTTTTCGAATGAAATCAAATATTACCATGTTAACAGATCATTTTTTAAAAATACAGACATGTATAAGGAAAAAATAATAGAAAATTGAAGTTTAGTAACAACCTTAATGGAAAATAATGTATTGTATTACAAGATGTTGTAATGTAAAAAATATTTGCAAATTGCACAATTAGAGGTTAGCACTCTCAGCCTCCTAATTAGTAGACTATAAGATACTTGTACGTACCTGTTGCCCTAAGGCTTCATCAACAGGAGATTATAATTAAGATGCTTCCTGGAGACTATTTTTAGTAGACTTAAGCCTGATTTCAGTTTAACTGCTTCCTAATAATTGTACTAGTTTGTTTTAATTAATGCTGGGCGCAGTGCTGATTTTCTTGACAAATCTGTCAGGATCTGACTCCTGATTATTTTCTTTAGCTTCATATCCTGTCCCTCTTTTTGCATTTTAAAGTCTACAGTAATAACAAGAGTTAATATGTATTGAGTGTTTTTGTGTACCAGTCACTGAATTCAGTGCTTCATAGTTTTTAGACCTCCCTAAAATTCTGTAAGATATCAGTTGCTAACCTTCATTTTATAAATGAGGAAATTATGGCTTGTAAAGCTGTGGTGATGACTCAAGGAAAGAACAGGAAGGATTTAAATCTAGGCAATGTGATTCCAAGAACCCATGATCCTTAAAGGCTAGATGTGTTTTCTGATTGATTCCCCTTCTACCTGGAATGTCTTCCTAGCAAACACATGAATTCATAATTCAGTTCAAAAGTCACTTCCACATCTTCTCTGACCTCCTTCCTAATAAACATACTCTTTACTCCTACCTATGCTACTACTAAATCTAATACATTTATTATTGCACTTTTCACGTGGTAATTATTTATCTCTCTCTCCCCCTGCTAAACTTTTAGTACCTTGAGGGAAGAGATGTTTCTTACTCTCTAAATTATCACTTATTTGGAATTTATGTGCCTTGTTCCATATATGTGATCAACAAATTTTTGTGGAATTGAATAACAGTTAACAACTTACTTTTACTACTTTGCTTTCTTTTCCTTCCTGGCTTCCTAAAATGTTCTTTTTAATCTCTCTCCATCTCTTCAAAGTTAAACTACTCAAAGATTGTCTGTACTTGGTGCTCTCTCCTCACCTCCCAGATACTCCTAAAACTGTTTATATTTGGGTTTAGCCACCACCATTCTACCAAAGAGCTTCCACTAATGTCATCAATAACTTCTGGTTGCTAAATGCAATGGAAACTTTAGTTTTCATTTTTTTTTTTGTTTTGAGATGAACTCCTGGGCTTAAGCAATCCTTCTGTGTCAGCCTCCCTAGTAGCTGGGAATATTGGCATGCATCACTGTGCCCAGCTTCAGTTTTCCTTTTTTCATGACTCTCAGTAGCATTCGCTGCTGTTGACCACGCTCTCCTTAAAATATTCTTCTTGGTATTCAAGACACTATTCTTCTCTTACCTATTCTGGTATAAGCGTCTGCCTGCTCAGCCTACTTACTGTCCTTAACTACTAAATATGTGTTTTTCTAAGGTTCGATGTTTGTCCCTATTGTCTTCCAACTATACTCTCTCCCTAGGTGATCTCATTCATGTTCATAATTTCAGTTTCCATCTGTTTCACCAAGAATTCTCAGTTTTTTCTCTTTAGTTCATAACTCACTTCTGAGATCTTGACCCATATATGCAACTGCCTAGTTCCTGTTTCCATTTGTAGTATCAAAGTGACCTCAAAGTGAAGATGTCCAAACTGGCCTGATTTTCTTTACCTTCCCTGCAACTGCAATGACAGCAATTACAACAACAGCAACAAAAGTCCTTGTCTTTCTCTACTATGTACCCCCCATTCAAACAGTAGTAATACCAGCTAAAAAGTCAACTGCTCAAGCCAGAAACTCACTGATATCTGTTTGAAATTGGATACAGATTTGAACTCAGTTTAGTTGCTTTAGCTTTGATTTATTGCTAAAGCAGCAAATCAGCGGTGTAAAGGATAAAAATGAGATGAGTAGACAGCTGGGTAAACTCCTTTTCCCATTGGTTCTCTGTATCTCATAAAGGCATGCCTAATGTACCATGGGCATTAGGGTTGCATCAAGTAAAATATTCTCCAGATTGTGTGATCACTGGAGTGGAACACATTGCTTTTTATCAGTACCCATCAATGCACTCAGTGAGCCATGATACCGAGATGTAATGGGCAGGCACTTCCTTACTGTGCCAGTGCTAAGACAAGCTCCCTGGGTTAGTGCCTATACTGCAAAGCCTGGAAGTTTTCCATTTATGTCTACATAGGGGCTTTGTGGAGAATTCTAGCCACAATTGATAGTTATCATTGACTCCAACAAGGAGTCATGATAACTTACCCCAACACCAAATTAAACACCAAGTCCTGTTATTTATAATTCCTAAAGATCTTTCAAATTTATCTATTTTCTACCATTATCTATCACCTGGAAGTCTTGTAGTCCCCACCACCACTCTTCCTCTTCTCAAATCCATTCACCACAAAGCAGCCCAAGTGAGCTTTTTAAATAAAAAATTTGTATTACTCCATCTTACAAGAATTTTTTCTGCCAAAAATCAGAGGATACACCCTTATTCTTGTCATACCTTTCTTTACAAGAAGTAAAGAACTTCAAGAGACAGATGTTAGTCAGAAGTGGTTTTTTATTATTTTATTTTATTTTTGCTTTGTTAGGTTTGTTTAAAGTCAAACTCAGTGACTTCTCAGCCTTGTGTTAACTTGTCATCTAGTGCTAGATTGTTCCATCTTATTTATTTATTTATTTATTTATTTATTTATTTGAATTGCAGTCTCACTCTGTCACTCAGACTGGAGTGCAGTGGCCGCTCCCAGCCACCGCAGCCTCGACCTGCTAGGCTCTGGCGATCCTTCCGCCTCAGCCTTCCAAGTAGCCGGAATTACAGGTATGCGCCATCACACCCGGCTGATTTTTTGATTTATTGGAGAGATGAGGTCTCGCTACCCAGGCGGGTCTCGAACCCACAGGCTCAGGCAATCCACTCACCTCAGCCTCCCAAAGGCGCGGGATTACAGGCTGAGCCACCAAGCCTGGCTTGTTCCATCTTATTTT